GCACACGCACGCACACACACACATACACACGACCAGTAAATACAACCCAATGAAGTTATAAAAATAATGCATTGCATGCTGTAAAAAGAACTATAAAAAATTATTACGAAGACAAAATTGTTCGAACGCATAGACAAACTAACACACACACACGCACCTACACACACACACACACACACACACACACACACACACACACACACACACACACACACACACACACACACACACACGTACGCACACACACACGTACGCACACACACAAATACACACAAACAGTATACAAGCATACAAAAGACACTCAAGACTACAAAATAGCGAAAAAAATAAGCAAACAAATTGAAGGGGGTTCATGAGACCTCAATGATTTATCGTTCCTTCATTCATCGAATTACACAAGAAATCAGAACATTGCAAAAGTTTAAATGGAACGAAATCTACGCGGGTTTTATAACAGCCATACAAGCCTGCACAAAATCACACACGCATATGTACAAATACCTACACACACACACACAAACAAACGCACATGTGAACGCCGACCGCCTTCGTACTAGAGTAAGCAAGTGCGATTTCAAATGCAAAATCCTTATTACCTTTCATATTTTTTCCATTTTTCCATGTAAGAATGCGTGTACGTATTAGGTTCATTAACGCCCAGTTTATGTGTATATGTTTTATTGTTTGTTTGTTTGTATGTCTGTTGGTTGGTATGTTTGTGTTTGGTTGTTTGTATATGTTGTTTATGTTTGAGAAGAAATATTATACATGGCAGATACAAACAAATAGACAAACAAACAAACAAACAAGCAAGCATACAAACATACAAACAAACTAAAAAACACATTCTGACTTCAAAAATGATTGACTGATGGAAAAACCACAGATAAAAGAATAAAGAAATGATAGAAATATAAATAATGAACATGCACGTGCTTGATGAATGCGTCAGGTTTGAGAATCAAAAAGATATGAACAACGCCAGGGCTTACGCAGATGACACACACATTTACACACACACACACCACACACACACACACACACACATACACACCACACACACATACACACACACACATACACACACACATACATACACAAACATGCATATACATACTTACAAAACAAACATACAAACAGACATACAAACATGCAAACATACAAACATGTATTGTAATTGAATGTTCTTTCAAACTGTATGGACAGCAGCTTCCCGAGTTGAACATGAAGATGAAAAATAGAAGCTAGGCCGACACGCTATGTTAACACGAACGTCTCTGTGTGTGTGTGTGTATACGGTGTGTATGTGTAAATTTTCGTGTTTGTGTGTGTGTAGTATGTGGCGTGTGTGTGTGTGTAAATTTTTTGGTGTTTGTGTGTGTTTAGTATGTGTGTGTGTTAATTTTCGTGTTTGTGTGTGTAGTATTTGTGTTTGTTTGTGGGCGTATACAATGGGTATGTGTGAATATTTGTGTGTGCGTGCGTGTGAAAAATTAAGTTAGATCGCAAAAATTATCATTCAAAAACAGAAAAAATTGTTTCTTTTTTAAATATACTTCATGAAAATAATTGAAACTCTGAAATCGTTTGATGCATGGATGAGCAAACGAAATGACAATACCACTCTTTTCTCAATTCAGCTGAATCTGAAAATCAGAACGACAAAGAAAATACGTACACACACACGCGCGCACACACACACAGAAAAACACACAAACACAGACACACACACAAACACACAGACACACGCACACACGCACATCGCGTGATATACCGTCTGATTATCTTTCATTTTAAAAACTGTCAAATTTTCTCCCCTTCCATCAATTCAACAAAAAAAGTGAAAATTAATTCTACGTTGAATGAACCACGGTAAACACATGAAAGCATTTGGTGGGATTCAACTTTTGGAGTCGCTTCTTAGCCAAATTTGCTGAAATTGAAATTTCAAAATTCATCAAACTTCAAATTGGGTGATAGTAAGAGAAAAAAAGGAGGGAGAAAAAGAAAAAAAATCAGAGAGAAAGAAAGAGAGAGAGAGAAAGAGAGAGAGGGAGAGAGTTATGAAATGTAAGTTATACGGAATTGGGAATAATAGCAGAAAACACACTTACAAAAAGGTCACAGAAAATGAAATGAAAAAACCAAATAAAAAATATTTTAAATGAATAATGATGAAAAAGTAAGAAAAGAAATATATCACATCACAAGAACGCGATAATAATACAAAAATACACAACATGCAGACCAAAATTTAGAAAACTAACTTAAAACTTAGAGAGAAAGAGAGAGAGAGAGAGAGAGAAAGAGAGAGAGAGAGAGAGAGAGAGAGAGGAAAAGAAAGAGCGAGAGAGAAAGAGAGATAAGGTCAAAATAAACACAAAGCAAACAAAAAAATCGAAGAAAATATTCCGCATTTTCGAAAGTCGTTTGTTAATTTATGACATCAATCACGTGAATCACATTACAGACAATGGCATCAATCATCGCAATGTTAATGTCATTTTAATAGGAAAGGAATAATTCTTTATCAAATATTTACATCATTATTATCACATCGACTTCAACTTTGAAATTTGGAGAGTTTTTTGTTTATGTTTTTCTTCTAGACTAGTTTATTTTTCATTTGTTTTTTGATTATTTGTCATTTTTTTTGGTTTTGTGTTTTAAAATTCTGCTAAATATTTTTATAAAAAAATTTCTTTCCTCGTAGAATTCATACTAACTCAACTTCATTACTTCAAGTCAATCTGCGTTTGAACGTTTATCTTTCACTTTTTATGTTCCCTTGTTCTATTCATACAGCAGGCGCGCACACACACACACACACACACACACACACACACACACACATACACAGATATATACATACATTTCGATAAATATTTCAACATATAAAAGAAGAGGATAAATTAAATAAAAAAGCTCGGAGATTTATTGGAAAATCTTTTGTAACAGATTGAAACTGTTGAACAACAACGGCTGCCACAGATAACAATGTTGCGGCTATCACAGCAGCCACCACAACCACAACCACAGCCACAACAACCACAGCCACAACAACCACAGCCACACCATCTACATCAACAAGGACTAAAGAATAAACAATTCATTCGCTACAATCATTGTAAACTGCAACAACAACAGCAACAACCCCAACTGCAACAGCAGCCACACCAGCAACAACTACAGCAGCAACAGCAGCCACACCAGCAACAAATACAGCAGCAACAGCAGCAACCACAACAACGACAACGATCTCAATATCTGTGGCATTTTAAAAGTCCATCAAACACCATTAACTATTCTAACTTAAACTTTAAAACTGAGAATAACAAATGCAGCTTAAATGTTGTTGACGATTCAAGTATGTTGCTAAAGGTTCGCTTGCCATATTGTTGTGATCATTTCAAACAACAACAACAACGACTGCAGCAGCAGCAGCAACAACAACAACAACTACAACAACAAGAACTACAACTACACAAAAATCAGCAAAATAACATCAACAAAAACAGCAACAAAAACAGCAGCATCATCAGCGTCGATAAAATCAAGATTAATATGCACGAAAAATCTTTTAACAACAACAACAGCAACAACGACGACGATGATGACGTCATAAATAACTCGTCACGTTATATTTACTTGAAGAACGCCAGCAAACTCAAAAACAACAACTACTACAGTGATAACAACAACATCAGTCGCAGGCATTCAAACGATAATATCTACAGCATCTGTAGCGCTGTAGCTAACAACAACAACAACAATAACAACAACAACAACACCTGCATCAAAATTAGCGATTCAGTCATTACCACTGCTCATAGATTAAGCGCTTATAACAACTACGACGGCAATGATGATGGTGATGGTGGTGGTGGTGATGATGATGACGTCACTAATAGTCCTGGTGGCGATGATGACGATAAAAATTGTCGAGGTACAGCTGATGAAAAATATTATAACGACGATAATCACGATGATGATGATGATGATGATGATAATAATAATAATAACAATAACAATAATAATAAAAATAATAATAATAAAAATGATGATGATTATAAAGTTAATGATAGTGATGATGGTGATGACGATAACGATGATAACATCATTAACATCAAAAGTGTAAACAAAACAACTGCAACAACAACAACAACTGCAACAACAACAACAACAACAACTGCAACAACAACAACAGACTACTGCAACAACCACAACAACAACAACTACATCAACAACAATGACTACAACAACAACTACATCAACAACAACAATGACCACTACAACAACTACAACAACAACTACAACAACAACAACGATATCAACCGAACTGTCAATCCAGAAAATGACGTCACCGTCAATGCGAGCGTAAATAAAATTATCGCTAAGAATAAAAACTTCAATAGCAATCACACACTCAATGACATCAACAACAACAACAACAATAACAACAACAACGACAAACCTAGCAACATAGAATCGATAAAAGAGCTGCCATATTCGTTTGACGTATTTCACTTCAGTTAGTTCCACGTATTTTTATTTATTCTACCTCTCTCTATCTCTCTCTCTCTCTCTCTCTCTTTCTCTCTTTCTTACTCTTTCTATTTCTGTGTAGTTTTCTATGTTTTTAACCATTATGGTTCTACATATTTTTATTTATTCAAAAAGTATTTAAATAATTAAAGTTAAAAAATTCATTCCAAATATTTAAAGTTTTACCGGAAGTGAAATTGACAAATAACCCGCCATGTTTTGCCGAGGTCACGTGCCAGGAAATGGCTCCCGCCATGTTTGTTGGGTGCGACGCGGCTACCAGTAAGTGCTACTGCGCCGCCCGCGATGACGTCAGAGGGATGTACCCGTGTGGTCCGTATCTTTGTTTTTTTGTAATTTAGGATTATCGAGTCTTACATTCAAACGATCAATCAATTAATCAACCGAACATTCAGACATTTATAAAATTTTATAGGCCTATAAATTTTAAGATGATGATGTTGTTGTTGTTGATGATGATGATTATGGTGATGATGATGGTGGTGATGATGAAGATGATGGTGGTGATGATGGTGGTGGTGATGATGATGGTGGTGATGATGATGATGATGGTGGAGATGATGATGGGGAAGATGATGATGATCATTTAAGCGTTAAGTCGGTCGGTGTGGATGTTATGTTTGTGTTGGGCGCTGTTTGAGAGAGCTTTACACCCTACAAACTGTTTCCGGTTGAAGATGGATGGATGGCTAGAACGAATAATGAAGGAATGAATGGATAGATGAACGGTTAGATAGACAGATGAATGAAT